GGGGGCTGTGAAGGAAACTGCCCCAAATTTGAGAGGAATGGGATTGGGGGGGCTGTGTGGGGAAGGGCATTTCAGCCTCCCCCCCCCCATCCCTGTGGGACGTGGAGTGGGATTTGGGTTCCTTCCCCTCGGGCATTGGTGCTACGGGGGTGAGGGGGCGGCAGGGCAGAGCTGGGGGAGCCGTCCCGGGTCTGGGGGTGCAGCAGGGAGATAAGGATGGAGGTGGTTATCTCTGATCCCCGGGGATGCGCAGAGCAACAGGATCTTGTCCGCTCAGGGAGTCACAGACTGATGCTGCTGGAAGTTTCCACCAGGGCCTGTCGTTGCTTTGGGGGAGCTGCCGCTCAAGTGTACCCCACCATCTGCTTGCTCCCGTGCCTCAAAACCTCTCCTTCCTTGGATGAGCAGAGCAGGGAGCTGCTCTCTCCTCCCTGAGGCTGGTCTTTCCACAGTGTGCTGGTGCATCCTTGGCAGCACGGCCTTCTGGCTCGCTTTATTTTAGCTGCTTCTCCTCTTACTTCTCCTTAAACGCAGCCAAAGCGCCGGGGAGTTTCCCCCCAGCATCAGGGAAGGAGAAAACAAACTCTGATGTTGGCAAGTGGCTGTAACGCCTGCATTGTCACAGGCATGTCGGAGTCAGACCAGGAGTTAAAACAACAACAGAAATCCTGGCCAGTTTATTCTAAGACATCGCTTGATTTCCTGCTGTTAATATGTAAATATGCAGGTGTTTGAGCTCTTTTGTGCCCGACTTTGAATACTTGCTTACGGCCATGACAAACAAATGGGGCTGCTATCATCAGATGTGTTGTTTTCCCCTATGACTGTGCTTAGCTTCATAATCCTGAGCAGTTTTTTTGCAGTTGCTGAGGTCTTTCATGGATTTTAGGGGACTCTGATTCACCTTCACGCTCAAGGTGCTAATTAAAACCACAGTAACTCGGATCAGGTGCGTCAATTGGCTTAAACCGAGTGCTGAAAGTTAGGATCATGTTCACCCCCCTGCCGCACCCCCAAAAAAAATCCATCAGGCAGATGGGAAGAGTGTTTTGGGGAGCAGAGACTCCTCTGCAGCTGGAGTACCTGGACTGATCGCTTGTGCCCTGTCTATAAATTGATGCAGTATTTCCTCTCTCAGAGGGGGGCTGTGGGAAGGTAACAAGGCTATCGTGGTGATAGAGCTTGAAATCATGGTCTAAAATATATAAAACTTTTCCAAACGCCCTCGAAAGGGAGTTTTGTAGCTGTGTAGAAGTGCCTGTGCTGCTTGAGCTGCAGGACGGGGTGTTGGTTGTGGCTGTGAGGACTGGCAGGTACCTTCTCGTCAGCGTTTGCCTCTGTCCCGGTCTCCTCCGATGAACTGGAAGCTGTAGATCCTGCGGAGGACTGCCTGGCAGCTCCCCAAGGAGAAGGGCTTGTCCTGGGTAGGAAGGAAAAAAACATTTCTCCCCTTTATATCTCTTGTAGAATATTGAAGATAATGGCACAGTTTCCAAAGTAAATAAATTCTTGTGAGAAGCGAAGGAGCCGCCTCTGAGCAAACCTACCAATCGTGCTGGTGTGAGCGGTCCAGCTGGCTGCTAGCAGGCGTTTCCTCCGGCTGGACATGGGGTCTCATGGGCTGGCGCGGTTGGTAAGTTTTCTCTTCCTACAGCTCCATCGCTCAAGTCCTGTGGACTTTTTTTTCCGTGTGCTGTGAGCTCACGGTGGGCTCCTCGAGCTCCTTGAAGCGCCGTCAGGCAGACTTCAGGGTATCTGGACAGTTGGTCGGGGTGCAAGGCACTTGGTCTGTGTGTCCTGGGGCAGGAATGAGTCCTGGTTGTGCTCATTTGAGGAACATAATAAAGGAAACGGTTCTTGTGCCAGAAATCACTGAGTTTTTGGTTGCTTTGCCCTTTTACAGGGGTGAAGGCAGGCAAGGGGTAAGGCGGCTGTTGTTTCCAGTCTGTAGGGAGATGGTTTCCATACAAAACTGCACTTGTGACAAGCTGAGGAAGAGGAGGATGGCCAGAAAAAAAATATTTTATGAATCGGTGCTCTTCAGTTGCCTTAAGGGAGAGTCCTCTTCCGCTTGAGGCTTGGCTGGGCGTTTACAGAAGGGCGAACTGGACCCGAACTGCTCAGCAAATTCTTCGTGGGGCGTGAATAAGCGTGTAACGCAGAGCGGGTGACAGTTTCATGGTAAACGTCTGTGAGAGGGTGCTGGCGGGGAGCTCCTGCCTCTCAGGAGGGTCCGTATCCCCCAGGGTGGATCCAGAAACGTTCCCTGCAGGCAGTGACAGTCCGGTTTCCCAGTTCTGTCCTGGGCAGATACGTGGAGAGTGAAGCCGCGTGCTTTGGTACCCGTTTGGTTTCACCACGCTGTAAGCAGGTTTATATCACGTTACACCCTCAGGATGTGAAACTGTCGCTGCTGGATTCAGACATAAATTGTACAAGTGAGAAACTCGTGGAGGCATTACACCGCAACTGCGGCGACACAGGGCTTCTCCCCCAGTCATTATCCTTATTTATTTGTTCGGGCTAATGGAATCTCTCCTGGTATGTGTCTCTCTCTCTGGCCAGCTCAGCGTTGCTCTTATTTGTAGTCAGGGCTGTTAATCCTCAGCAGTGCCCTAATTCTGCTGAAAGGGAGGGTGCAGCCATTGAACTTGGGCAGCCATACAAGCTCCCGGCTTTCTGGGAAGAAAGCGTCCTTTTATCGCAGGCCAGCTTGCTGGGTACGAGCGTCTGATGCTTTCTTCTCTGGGAGGTTGCCACAGCGAGCGGCAGCAAGTGGCTTCAAGGGAATGGATGCCCTTTGCTAAGGAATGGGGCGAGTAATTTCCATGCGATGCCATCCCAGGCGCCTGGGACTCTGCCCTGACTCTTCCTGGGGATTTGTGCGCTTGCTCACGGCAGGACTGTGAAAGAACCTCTGTGGAGCTTCGAGAGGAGCCATGGAGCCTGTGCTGGCGAGGGGCGAGCTGCCTGCCTTTGGGAAGCGGGCTCCTTGGTGACTTGGCCTGGGGCCCGGTCGCTTGGTTTCTTAGTGGCTTTCTGTTTGGTGAAAGGCTTCGCATTCCCAGGGAGATGTCTGTCTTGGTCCGTGCCGTGTGGGACGGCCGAGGGGTGCAGGGGGAGCCAAGGGCCCTCACCTCTGGTTTTATGTGAGCGTTGACTGCATCTCAATTACTTAGAGGACTTTTCTCCCAGCCTTAAGCTGTATTAAGATGTGATGACCGGCCCTTGAATTGGGCAGCAATGCGTACGCCTTCTGCACCATCCCTGCTCGCTGACAGTTTCAAAATGATAGAAACCCCTTATTTTCCCAGTGCAGATGTGCCTTTTGCCCAGGGCTCCTGCAGCCATGTGCTGGCAGCGGGTGCTGCTTCAAGCAAGGTCAAGTTTGCCCTTTCTGAGGTTGGGTGCTGGCCCTGTCACCCTCAGCCAGCCTGTGCTGATGACTCTTGCCTCTGTTGCGATTGATGCTGCCAAGCCTTTGCTGCGCTGGGCTGCGGAGCATGGAGTTTGCTCCATTTGAAACAAAATCCACACCCAGTTTTCCTCACCCGTGTAGTCCCTCATCCAACCCTGAATCTCCCGCAGCTCCCCGGGCAGGAGTGCGATGTTGTTAAACAGCAACTCTGCCTCTGCCAGATCTTCACTTCGCCTGTCCGGAGCCAGAGAGCAGTGCTCTGCCACAGTCCTGGGACACAGTTCTTGCCTGGTCCCTGTAAGCAGCAAAATGCCACTAGCTGTGCTTACACAACAGTTAATTTTTGGCTGGTATGATGTGGTATAAGCCATCCGGGACTTTGTATCTTCATTGTACTGCTTGTCCTCTGCCAGTGCTTCCCATCGCTCGTGCCATCCAAGCATCTCTGTAAATACCACAATGCTGGCTTCCTATCGGCTCGCCTGCACTGGGGCTGCATTTCAGAGATGCTCAGAGTAAACCCCAAGCATCCATATTCCTCAGATGGCCGTAATTCCCCATTTAAAGTCAGGGCATTGTCAGCAGCAGTAATAAAGAGCATTCGAGCTCAGACAAGTTCTCCCTGGCACCTTATCTAGGCAAATATTATCAAGCTATTGAGCTATACAGCAACTGCTGGATGGGGATGACTGGGGAATTTGCCAAAGGAAATGTCAAGGATGAAATGTCTTTCTAGTCCAGAACAAAAGATTTAGCAAATTGTGAGGGTTTAAGAGCCTCTTTCCCTGGCTTTGCTGTCTTAAACCTTTAAAAAGAAACTGTTGTAGCTGCCCTGGTGGCAAGAAGAGTCTCAGCCTCAGTGTTATCGTTCTGCGGCATTCAGGGCAGCAGAAGTGATGAGCATCGGAGATTGTGAACTTGTTCCTCCCTGAGGAAAGCGTCGACAGAGGAAGGCAGCAAAGCCGCAGGGGCAGTGAATCGCCCCCCTCCTTGCAGCTGCCCTTCGGGGTGGCCCTGCCTCATCCCACGCTCCCACCGCACCATCGGAGGAGCCGTGGCCGCTTGCCCTGCGTCCTTCCCACCTGCCTTTGCCTGCCAAGGCCCTCGAGCAACTGGCTTCTCCACCATAACTTCGCCCCTCTCCTCTCCCCAGTGCGCAGTTCCCATTTAACCGCTGTAGGTTCCGTGGCCCTGGCTCCTGCGGGCACCTCCTGTCCGTGTGCTGCTTGCTGCTGCTCTCTCCTCCCCGCTTGCCGACGTCTTTTCTCAGCCTCCTGAGGTCCCGCTGCTAGCCAGCACCAGCAGCATTTTTTATTCCCCGAAGTGACCTTTTAATTACATAACGACTTAACAAACACTCAGCACTGACAACATACCGAAATAATTGAAACAATGTTTTTCCAGCCTTCAAAAACAGGATTCTGTACCAAAACTCTGTCCTTTTTGATTCCCAAAGTTAGAAAAACAAGCGGCAGGGAGATGGTGTGGGCTGGGAACTGGGAAGCCGTCGGCTCGCCCGGCGTGCCTGCCTCCGCTTTGAAGCGGGGTGGCTCTGCAGGGCAGCAATGGTCTCTGTTAGCCTTGGGGTGGGCCGTGGCTTCAGGTCAAGGCTGTGCTGGGATGCAGGCAAATGAGTGAGGGCTGCAGTCAGTTGCTCACCATAATTGGCATTTCCCTTTGGTGGCAAACAAAGGTCAAAGGAAAGTACGGGGAGAAGGTGATGAGATGGTGAGATTTCTCTAGCCCCTTTGTAACCCCCCCCATGCTGAAGGCATGTGGGTGAGGTGTGACATTTTGGGTGATGCAGGGAGACACTGGGAGAGTCCCTTGGGCATCGGGGCCATGGGCTGGGCACACCGAGGAGCTGCGGTCTCAGCTCTTGCTGCTGGTCTTACTCTTCCATCTCTCTGCTGCTTCCTTGCAGATCAAGAGACAGCATGGCTGCGACTGCTGCTGTCAGCCCCAGTGAATACTTGCAGCCGGCCGCCTCCACTGCCCAGGTGAGTACGGGGGCATCGGCGGGCTCCTGGCTCCCCACTGGGGCGGAGGGAAGTGTCCTGGGGTGCAGAACAGCAAACACTGCATCGTTTGGCCCCTCCTGCCTCCCCTGTAGCCAGCATTGCTGTGTCTGGAGGAGGGCTGATTGCAGGACAGGCTGGGGAAAGGCACTCTGGACTGTTTCCGAACCCCGATGCCAACTCTTCCAGAGTGGTGTTTCTCCTCCCCACGCTGTGTTTTCCTTAAGGACCTCTTAGGTCACATTAGCAGCTGATATCACAAGGTGGTCTTGGAATTAAAACTGCCTGTGACACGCCAGGGTGTGTGTAATGGGTGTAAATACCAGCAGACTTGCAGGGTATTTGCACCTTTATAGAGGTTGTAAGAACATAGGCACACGATTAAAAGGCAGTCGCCATCCTGATGGCTAAAAGCAGCGTGACTGAGGGTTAGCTGAAGGCACACGTGGTATGGGTAATTAAGCCGTTCCCTTAATAAGGGGTGTCTCATTGGCGTGGACTGGATTGCTTCCGAGAGCATTTACCCTTTCCTTCACTGACTTGCTCTCCAGATGTTTGGCACAAGCCCCTGTCTCTAACTTACCCGTCTCCTTCCTGGCTCCCCAGGACTCTCAGCCATCTCCTCTAGCCCTGCTCGCAGCGACATGTAGCAAAATCGGTCCCCCCGCAGTGGAAGCCGCCGTGACTCCTCCTGCCCCTCCTCAGCCAGCGCCTCGCAAACTCGTCCCCATCAAACCTGCTCCTCTCCCTCTGGGCTCCAGTAAGAACAGCTTTGGGATCCTGTCGTCGAAAGGGAACCTCTTCCAGATCCAGGGCTCTCAGGTCGGCACCTCCTACCCCGGGGGGCAGCTGGTTTTTGCCATTCAGAACCCAACTGTCATCAACAAGGGGACCCGCTCGTCCGCCAACATCCAGTACCAGGCGGTGCCCCAGATCCAGGCCGCGGGGGGACAGACCATCCAGGTCCAGCCCAACCTCACCAACCAGATCCAGATTATTCCAGGCACGAATCAAGCAATTCTCACCTCTTCCTCTTCCTCTCACAAGCCCGTGCCCATCAAACCGGCTCCGGCGCAGAAGGGTGGAGCTTCGCCTGCACAGGGCACGAGCAACGTGGTCAAGTTAGCCGGTGGCAGCAACGTGACTCTTACCCTGCCCGTGAACAACCTGGTGAACACCGCTGAGCCGGGCACGCAGGCTCAGATCCTTGCAGAGAGCCCCTCGAAGCCCAGCAAAAAGACTCGGAAAAAAGCCATGTCGCCCGCCCAGCCTGCTGCTGTGGCCGTGGCCGAGCAAGTAGAGACGGTGTTAATAGAGACCACAGCGGAGAACATCATCCAGGCGGGCAACAACCTGCTGATTGTGCAGAGCCCGGGCTCCGGCCAGCCGGCCGTGGTGCAACAGGTACAGGTGGTGCAGCCCAAGCAGGAGTCGCAGGTGGTGCAGATCCCGCAGCAGGCCCTGCGCGTGGTCCAGGCCGCCTCCGCCACGCTCCCCACCGTCCCCCAAAAATCCTCCCAGAACTTCCAGATCCAGACGACGGAACCCACTCCTACACAGGTACCACCTCCTGTGTCCTCCTGCAAGGTCCCTCTGCCCTGTTTCTCCTCTGAGCCCTCACCCAGGCTTTAGAAAGCTGAAGGGTTTTGTGAGCTGCCAGACATTCCCAACTTGGCATCCAGTTTAGGCACCACTTGTGTGGATTCTCTGATGTCTAAGAAGGGTTGGGAACACAGCTGTTCCCTCAACAGGGCTTTATTAAGTCTCCCTTTCTGGCCACCTGCTTTTGCAGGACCTGTAGTCCTTGAAATCTCTGCTGTGCCACCAGCTTGGGTTGGGATGAGCCAGCCTGCTCAGAAGCTCTTGGGAGATGAAGGGAGGTGGGGGATTGGGACTCACAGCCCGTAGCACTGTGTCTTCAGTGTTGCCTTTGGAAACCAGGCTACAAGGCCGAAGCAGCCCTTTGCTGCTGCTCAAGGCCAGGACCTTTCTTCAGGAGGCCCACAAAGGATCTTCAGATGCTCGGGCAACTTCTGCTGTTCTTTGGCTCATTGCAGGCCCAGATTCCTGGGTTGTGTGGGGAGGGCGACCATCGCGGTGGAGAGGGGTCTGCCCGGTGGCAGTGGCTGGTCTCATTCATTCCTCTTCTCTCCTCCCATCAGGTCTACTTCAAAACACCGTCGGGTGAGCTGCAGACAGTGCTGCTCCAGGAAGCCTCGGCCATGACAGTGGCTCCATCTGCGACCTCTTGCAGCAGCCCCGTGTCCCGCACCCCCGGCACGGGGAGCGGCAGCAAGAAACAAGCCACGCGCAAGGAACGCACTCTGCCAAAGATTGCCCCTGCTGGAGGCATCATCAGCTTGAACGCGGCTCAGCTGGCGGCCGCGGCACAGGCCATGCAGACCATCAACATCAACGGCGTGCAAGTCCAGGGTGTGCCTGTCACCATCACCAACACTGGAGGTGGGCTGCGCCCTGCTCTGCGATGGGGTGGGAGGGACAGCAGGATTTAGGCAGCTCCCCGATGCGGAGGACAGAAAGTCCCCCCCCCCCCCGCCCAGCAGGACACTTTGCAGCTGCGATGTTGCAGCTTTGTAAACAGATCCCTTGTACCCTGAGGCTGAATGTTGCTGACTGTAAATGTCATCAGCTTCTCTAGCTCCTGTCGCTCCAGGAGGCCCCGAGTGTTTTGTAGGGTATCTATTTGGTGGCTCTGCTGGGTGTTTCCAAGCCTGTCCTGGTAAGATGTGTCAGAGAGGGCGGTTAGCGGAGACAGCCGCCTGCAGGGTCAGGCTGTGCGGTCGTGCTGAGCTGCAGGACATGTCTGAGTGCAGGGGCTGCGGCTGCCCGAGAGCCCAGACCAGCTCTGTTTGCTCCTGAGCTCTGTGCAGGGGAAGGCTGAGCTGTGCCCAGGCCCTTGGGGCGAGATGGGTGTCTGTTTTTCTGGGGAGCTGGGACTCAGCCAGGCAGAGGGACGTGATGGAGTGGGGTTTTCCCTCCTGCAGCACCTCTGGGCCAGCAGCCCCTACCGCAGACCACCCTGCCAGGTCCTGGTCCCGGGGCTGGGACATCTCCTTGCATCCGCCGGGTGCGACGGCTGCTGGTTTGGGCTTCCAGTAGCCAAACCAGGATAGGCTCAGTCACACACACAAGCTCTGTGCTGCGTAGTGAGAGATCGCTATTCCCTGAGAGTGAACTCAGCCCCTTGCCTCCATGGGACAAGTGTCTTCCTTAAGCCGAAAATAGCCAGACATGACCCTAGCCAGTGGCTGGAGCGGTCTGTGAGCCGCAGACAGCCCTGGCGCACGTCTGTCCCTGCGTTGCCTGCTCATCTCCCCGCTGCCAGGAGAAACACATCCCAGTAGCTGCTCTGTCCTCCCCTCCTGCCCAGCAAACTTTCCCAGCCCAGGGCCAGTGGTGTGGGCTGCCACCGGGGAGCCGAGGGGAGGAAGCTGTGTCTGAGGGAAGTTTATCTGCTTTCTGATCCAGAAAGACCTGCTGCCGTGCGGTGGTTTCTCTCTCAGCAAGAACCGGCAGGAGTCCCGGCTCGGTTTTGCAGTCGGAAGCTGTTCTTTCTTGCTTGACTAAACGATGTCAGCATAAAACACGGGCCAGCGTGGTTTCGTGCTCCACAGCAGGCCGCCGTCCTCGCTGGGCTTGCTTTTAAGGGGGTTTTTAATTGCTGCTTTGCGTGTAAATGTGGGGCCAGCCGTGAGCGTCGGGGAGATGCCACAAGCAGATGTTGCTGCTGTCTGTGCTGCTGCCCTCAATGTGCCGCAAGGCTGGCGGGGGGCCCTTGCTGCAGCCCCGGCTGCGAAGGGGAGACCGGTAGGACCTGCTGGCTGCTGCCTGTGAATGACACGAATCGAGTCGGGTCTCAGCTTGGGTTCAGGCAGGACATGCCCGCCTCCCGAGCAGCTGCATGTCTCGCACAGCTGCCAAAGGGCTGCCCCGACTCTTGGCTTCGCGCTTTCCCTCCCAGTGGATATGGTGGCACCTTTGCTCTGCCTGCACCCCTGATCCCATCCTCCCTCTCTGCAGTCACCCCTTCTTTGCTCTGCTGTCAGGTCCCGCTCCTCCTCCTCCTCCTCCTCCTCCTTCTTCCCCGCTGCCCCAAGAGCAGCGATCCCGCTTGCTGACGCTGACCCCGTCTTCTTCTTTCCAGCCCCCGTCACGGCTGCCGGGTGCTGTGCAAGGCCCAGGCTGCCGCCTCCGTGAGCACCCGAGCGTGGAGCGGCCCTTAGGGTCCGGGGTAAGTCCCATTTTTTTGGTCAATATATTGCACGTTTTTTCAAAGTTTCTTTTTTGTTTCCTCTTTGGTCATTTCCCCACCCCGAAGGGTCAAACCAAAAACTTTGAAAAACCGCACAGTATATTCAGAAAAAAGGGACTTACCGGCCCCGCTTGGGGACCAGCACGTGGCGGGGCACGGGGGCCGTGGCAGTGCTGCATGCGGGTCTGGGGGTGTCGAGACCTGGGGTGTCCTGTCCCGCACGCGGGGGGGTCTTTCCTCCAGCCAGCCGCTTCCAGAGGGTTTCGGCAGGACCCGCACGAGGAGCATGGACGGATGCGTTGGGCACCAGCGCGTGGGCGCAGCACGGCCCCCCCCGGGAATGGACGGGCAGAGCCTGACTCCCCCTTTTCCTCCCCAGGCCAGCAGCAGCTGACTGTGCAGAACGTGTCTGGCAACAACCTGACCATCAGCGGCCTCAGCCCGACCCAGATCCAGCTCCAGATGGAGCAAGCGCTGTCCGGAGAGATTCAGCCAGGGGAGAAGAGGCGACGGATGGCGTGTACCTGCCCCAACTGCAAGGACGGGGAGAAGAGGTGAGCACGGAGAGGGAGAGGGCCAGCCTTGCGGGACCGGCACCCGTCTCCAAGGCTAATTGTGGCTTTCCTCGCCAGGCCGGGGGACTCGGGCAAGAAGAAGCACATCTGCCACATCCCGGAGTGCGGGAGGACCTTCCGAAAGACCTCGCTGCTGCGCGCTCACGTGCGCTTGCACACGGGCGAGCGCCCTTTCGTCTGCAACTGGGTTTTCTGTGGGAAGCGCTTCACACGCAGTGACGAGCTGCAGCGGCACGCTCGCACGCACACAGGTTTGTGGCCCCCTCCCTCCATCCCTCCCGGGGCAGCCCCCTGAATCATGGCCCAGCCTGTACAGGGTCCTGAGCCTTGCAAGAGCCAAGGGGATGTGCTGAGCCAAGGACTTGGGATGATTTTAGGCCACCGCAAGTTGTTCTTGTGATTTAACTGAGTTACTGGGAGGGACTGGAGAACTTGGGGGGGGTCTCTGCTGCCTTTGGGCTCTCCAGATGATGGTGGTGACAGAATTGTCACGGGAAGGGGCTGGGGTAAAGGGCTGCAAAGGGGACCTGTCGTGGGGGTGTCGCTGCCACCCTGGGAAGTCCCCGCTCTCCTGACCATGGCTGGTTTAGGGGAATACAGGGACAAAAGCAGGTTGGTGATGGTGCTGCCGGGGCCCTGGCATGCCAGCTGCCATCCCCTGACTGCCGCTGCTCTTCCCCGCAGGCGACAAGCGATTCGAGTGCGCGCAGTGCCAGAAACGCTTCATGCGGAGCGACCACCTGACGAAGCACTATAAAACCCACCTGGTCACCAAGAACTTGTAGGGCCGGGAGCTGCCCCACGGCTCCCTGCCTGCACAGACAGACCCTGCGAGGGCACCAGCCTGTGACGCCGCGGCACTCCAGCGTCCCCGGCCGTGGCCGTCCGCGGAGAGGAGCCCTCAGGGACGTCCTCCTGTCCTTCCTCCGATGCCGCTTGGGCCCCCACGCAGAAGAAGCCCTTTCTGAAGGGTGCAAGGGGCCAATCCTCCCTGTGGATCCCTGGGGCCACGGAGCGGCCCGGTGGTGGCCCGCAGCCCGGCAAAATGTTTCACGGCCACGTGGGAGCTGGGCACGGAGGGGACTGGACGCTCCGGTGCAGGCGGGCCGGGAGAAGCTCCACAGCACATTCCTACTTTATATTTAAAGTCTATAAATAGCTATAAATATCTATATAACCCCATTTGGAAGGTCCCTTTTTTCTATGGAGATCGTTGCCTTACGCTCCCTGCTCCCAATTACGAACACTGTGTATTGTGAGTGCTTTTTTTAATCTTTATTTAATTTCTCCGTAAGATGCTGCCCATCTTCTTTGCCCCCCTTTTCTCCTAACATTTCTTTTCCAATACTGAAGAGGTTTCTTTCTCTCTGATGATTTCTCTCTCCCCACTTTTCTGTTTCCAAGTGCCGAGGCGTTTCCTTTTGAATTTTGGGACTTCAGCCCCTTTTCCTCCCCTGTGTGCTGTCCACCATCCCCACTGTGTACAGTGTACATTGTATCATAGATTATATTGCTTTTGTGTTTACTACATGTTTAAAAAACATATGGCTTGTTATTTTTGAGCTTTTAAATTAAACAAATTCACTTTATTTTTTAGTTGTAACTGCCCGAGGTTGTTTTCTGGATTACGTGACAGATCTGTTATACTTTATTAACTGTAACTGGTTGGCCGGTGTGGAGTCAGCCGGGAGCTTTCCTTGCTAAATAAATTTAGTCACCAGAGGCAAATCCAGTGCAGCGTGTGCCACTGAGGGTCCTTTCTCTCCCGAGCCGGCATGGTGCGAGCCACGGTGCTGGGCTGGGCACTGCCGCGACTGGGGCTGCGCTGGCTGCAGCCGCAGCAAGAGCCAACCGCGGCGGTGAAGAGCTGAAGGCGAAATGCTCGGTGCGGCTGCAGGGAGGGCGAGCTGCCGGACTTCTCGGGCAGAAAGAAAGTGGAGTTTATTTACAGGAATCCCAAATGTTGCTGGAAATGAACTTATTTACAGGAAAACAGTCCTGGGCTGTGGCTGGATGTGTGGAGCTGCTGCTGTGTGCGGGAGCAGCTCTGCTGCCGGGGATGGCCATGGCCACCATCTCTGCCCTCTGTGCCCAGGGACCCCGGCACCACGATCCCAACCCCATCACCGGCCGGTAAGATGCACGGCACCGGCATCTCCCTGCTCCAACCGGCCCTTGCCCCTGTCAGCACCCGCTCCCTGCTGCTGGAGGGAGCAGGACGCGTGGCCGTGGGCTCTCCCACCACGGGGACGTGGGGCTGAGCCTGCCAGTCTCTGCAGGGTGAATCCTCCAGCCCCTCTGTAAGCGCAAGGGTGCGATCCCACCGTCCCCGGCATGTCCCTCCCTGTCCCCTCTCCCCATCTTGCGGCACCGGAGGGCTCTGGGCTCATCCCCTCCGCGTGGCTGGAGGGCCGTGGCTGTCCCGTGGGTCTCGGCTCACTCCGTCTTCACGACCATCTTCTTGACAGCCCGCCGGGACGTGCCGCACTTGCTGTTGATGACGGCGTTGAAGTTGCAGCCGCGGCCGCACATCTTGGTGACGTACTCTGCGGGGTGGAGGGGGGACCCGACCCCACTCACAGGTGGTACCGTGGCCTTTCCTGACCCACCGCCATGGCCGAGACGGCACCAGGAGGGGACGAGGGACCCCCATTCCGCCCCCCCATCCCCTACCTTTGATGGCGTTGACCACGGCCACGGGCAGGCGGAGGGGCCGCTCCATGGTGGTGGTATTGTGGGCGATGCGCTGCCCCGTGGCCGATGACCGGGCCAGCGTCTCCCGTGAGAAGAAGTAATCGAGCAGCCGGCGGGTCATGAGCTTGGGCTTGTCAGTGGAGACCTGCGAGAGGTCGTCCAGCTGCGGGTGGGTGATGTAGACCCCTGAGTTGGGGACCAGCTCCAGTTTGGGCCTCCCGTTTTCCTGCGGCAAGGGGGAGAGTTCTCGTCTGGGTCCTGGATGGAGCCTGGGGACACCCCTACTCCATCCTTGGGCTCCCCTGACCCCCTCCATCCCTTGGGAACCCCTGGGCTGCCTCTCCTGTGCGCTGGGGGAACCCCTTTGTCCCCTCTGCTCCAGCCACAGCGCTGTGCCCAGTGGCAACCCAGGAGCCTTGGTGGGACCCCAGGTCTCCGGTGGGACCCCAGGACTCTTGGCGGGACCTCAGGTCCCTGGGGGCACCCCAGGAGCCTTGGTAGGACCCCAGGTCTCTGGTGGGACCCTAGGAGCCTTGATAGAACCCCAGGTCTCTGGTAGGACCCCAGGAGCCTTGGTGGGACCCCAGGAGCCTTGGTGGGACCTCGGGTCCCTGGGGGCACCTCAGGAGCCTTGGTAGGACCCCAGGTCTCTGGTGGGACCCCAGGAGCCTTGGTGGGACCCCAGGAGCCTTGGTGGGACCCTAGGAGCCTTGGTGGGACCCCAGGAGCCCCGGCCAGCCCCCACACACCTCGATGGGTGAGGCCCAGAGCGGGGTGCCATCGGGCAGCGTGTCCCCCCGGCTCTCCTCCCAGAGGCAGGCGGTGTCGGTGAGTGCGGCCGGGCTGCCAGCCCCCTCCTCGGTGCCCAGGCAGGGGGGGAAGCTGCCGCGCAGCCCTGCCCGCAGCCGCCAGGCCGGGGGGCTCCGCGGGACGTCGGCGGGGGCACAGCCCTGCTCCCCAGGGCTGGGAGCAGAGAAGGGCTGGAGCCCCCCAACCTGCGGGGACAGAGGGGGGGTTGGCTGGCCATGGGCGTCCCGCTCATCCCAGTGCTGCTGGGGGCTGGGGGCAAGCTGGTCCCCAGCCTCCATGGGGTGAGGAGCTGTGTGGGTTGGGGACACGGGGGCAGAGCTGTCCCCAGACCCCCACCCCGTGGGGACTGAGACCCACCTGCATGGCGGAGTTGCTCTCCAGCAGCCCCACGAGCCCCTTGAGGAACTGGATGTTGCTGTCACTGATGCCTGTGGGGACACGGGGAGGGGGTCTCAGCCATGGGACAGACCCTGTCCTCGGGTGGGGGGGACCGGGCAGCTCCCCTCTGTCCCCCACAGCCCTGCCAGCCTGTGCCTGTCCCCTTCCATCCTTCTGTCCCCATTCACCCTCAACTGTCCCAGTGCCACCCCACAAACTGGATCCCCTTCCCAGCCCATGGTGCGGTCGCTGCCATTACCAATGCAGCCGGTGCCTGAGGCCAGCAGGGTCCTGGTGGCGGTGGCAGCGGTGGCTAAGGGTCCCCCGCGGCCACCCCTGGAGGACAGCAGGTCGTTTTCCTCCTCCAGACTGCGGACCTGGTTCCGGAGCTGCCGGTTCTCCCGCTCCAGTTGCCGGATTCGGCGGTCACGGTGCAGGACGGCCTCGTCCCGGGCTGCCAGCGCCCGCTGCAGCTCCTCCACCTCCATCTCCATCTCCCGCAGCAGCTGGGCGTACAGCCCCGTCACCCTGCCTGCCCGTGGACCCCAGCCCCCCCCGGTACCCCCCAGCTCCCAGGGGCTTTTGGGTCCCCATGGGTGACTGGGGCTGGCCCGGGTGCCCCGGTACAGCCGGGGTCTTTTCCTGGCTGCGATGTCCTCGGTGAGCAGGAGGACCCTTGGGGATGGGGAGGGAATGGGGTCAGCAATGGGTCTCCTGCGGGGGGTCACAGCCCCCTCCCCAGTTTGGGGACACAGGGGGTGACACGGGGACGTGCCCCTGCCCGGTACCTGCCGTGGCCCGGGCTGGATGCGGGGCACTGTGGGTCCGCGGGGTCCTGGCCCCCCGAGTGTTCGTCCTCATCCTGGGGCTCGGCCCCGCCGTCGGCCATGGGTGCCAGCGTCAGGGTGCACCAGCCCCCCGGCACCTCACTGGGGCCGTGGGACCCCCGTCCTGCTTGGAGACGACCTGGCGGGGGGACAAGGGGTGGCCCCTCAGCACCCGTCCTGCTCCCTGCCCC